AAAGACCCTTTAGAAAATTCTTTAAAATAGACACAACTATCATACTGGCTTCTTGAGAATCCTTGCCCCAACATACACGCATCAAACCGCTTATACCATTGCCTTGGAGCTTGCTTTAACCCATAAAGAGATTTTTGTAGACGGCAGACACAATGTTCCTTCCCAGGAACTTCAAATCCCTCAGGTTGGTACATGTAAAGTTCTTCATCAAGCTCTCCATGTAGGAAAGCAGTCTTTACATCAAGTTGCTCCAACTCCAAATCAAAAAGAGCAACAAAAGCAAGTAGAACACGTATAGAAGTATGACGAACAACTGGAGAAAAGATCTCGTTAAAGTCAATACCTTCACGTTGATCAAAACCTCGAACAACTAACCGTGCCTTCCACCGTGCTTTCTCAACCCCAGGAATGCCTTCTTTCTTTTTGTAAATCCACTTACAGCTCAATGGGCGTTTACCTTTCGGCAAATCTACCAGCTCCCAAGTCTCATTCTTATGGAGACTTTCCATCTCTTCTTGCATAGCAACCAACCACTTGGACGAGTTGGCACACGAAATAGCCTCAGAATAGCAGGATGGATCACCATCAACCTCCTGTGCAACTGAAAGCGCATAAGCAACCAAGTGGGTTTCATCGTCACTAGCGTACCTAGCAGGTTTTTTAATTGTCCTCCTAGGCCGATCTTGGGCAATAGAGTACTCTCGCTGTGGCTCGACGAGAGGTGCGGTACTTGTAGATGCATCATCTTTAGTATTACCATTAGTGGTAGTAATACTATCATTAGGCCTGAACTCAAACTCCACCTTATCACCAGTACCCTGCGTCTCACCTGTACTGGAATCTTTTTCAGAAGAAAGTAGTGCATTTTCGTCAAAAGTGATATCTCGACTCAGAATGATTTTCTGAGAATCAGGAGACCATAGACGATACCCTTTTGACTCAGAGGCATAACCAAGAAAAATGCATTTGACAGCTCTCGGGTTTAATTTACCCGTACTGGAATGAGCATAAGCAGGACATCCAAAAACTCTTAAGATAGAGTAGTCAACAGGATTACCTGACCAAACTTCCTCTGGAATTTTGAAATCAAGGGATGAATGTGGAGATCTATTCACCAAATAGCAAGCAGTAGAAACGGCCTCGGCCCAAAAATCACGCCGTTTCCATAACTCAGCATTAGAGAGCATACAACGAGCTCTTTCCAATAGAGTCCTGTTCAAACGTTCGGCAACACCATTCTGCTGGGGTTTACCAGGCAAGGTCTTGTGCCTGGCAATTCCATTTGCCGCACAAAAGTCATTGAAATCTGACTCACAGAACTCCAAGCCATTGTCTGTCCTGAGCTTCTTGACTTTTTTACCTGTCTGAGTCTCAACAAGTATTTTCCATTTCTTGAAAATAGAAAATGCTTGATTTTTATGTTTCAGGAAATAGACCCAGACTTTACGAGAAAAGTCATCAATAATAGACATAAAATATCTACAGCCTCCCATAGACTGGAATTTAGTCGGTCCCCATAAATCGGAATGTATATATTCCAATACATCTTTGGTACGGTGTGTAGCAGTAGAGAAACTAACCCTCTTTTGTTTCCCAAAAACACAATGCTCACAAAATTGTAATTTACCCGTACCTGAATCACCAAGGAGACCTTTCTTGCTCAGGAGATGCATGCCTTTCTCACTCATATGCCCCAGACGCATATGCCATAATTGAGTGAGATCCGCATCAGACATCGATGAGGATACCGCTACTGAACCTGTCACAGTACTGCCATGCAACACGTACAAGCTTCCAGAACGAGAAGCTTTCATGAGAACAAGAGAGCCTTTTATGACTTTCAGAACTCCACCTTCAGCTATGTACTTGCACCCCAGAGATTCCAAGGTGCCCAAGGATATCAGATTGCGTTTCAAATCAGGAATATACCGAACATTGGTAAGAGTCCTGACAACATTATCATGAGTTTTAATCTGAACACTTCCAATTCCACTAACCTTGCATTGGGTATCATTACCCATCAAGACAACTCCACCATCAACTGGTTCCAGAGAGACGAACCAGTCTTTGTGAGGACACATGTGGAACGTACAACCAGAGTCCAAAATCCACTCAGTCTTGCTCCGTTTGTCACCGGAGCTAACAGATAACATAACATCGCCTTCTGAATCACTTTCAACAACACTAGCTTCAGCAGACTTCTTTTCTCTCTCTTGCTTGTTTTTCAACTTGAAGCATTCAGTCACATCGTGACCCTGCTTCTTGCAGTACTTACAGGATTTGTTGGACTTACGTCCTTTGGACTTGGATCTAGATTTTTTATTGCTACTCTCTGTTTCAAGTGAACGACCCCTTACAGTCAAGCCTTCACCTTTGTCCTCAGACTTAATTTCAGAGTCAAACTTTTCTTTGGACAATAAGTTTGACTTAACATTGTCAAAAGTAAGGGTATCACTACTATTACCATACAGCATAATTTCTTTGAAATGCCTGTACGATTTAGGGAGAGAGACAAGCAATAAAACAGCACGATCTTCATCTTCAATTACGACATCAATATTTTCCAAGTCCAATAAAATAGAATTAAATTCATCCAAGTGAGATTTAATCGAAGTACCTTCCGTCATACGGATTGTGTACAGACGCTCCTTCAGGCGTAGCTTGTTCGCCAGAGACTTGGCCATATAAAGCGACTCCAGCTCGGACCATAAATCTGACGTAGTCTTCTCACTTACCACTTCACGTAGAACCTCTTTAGACAGGCACAATTGGATGGTTGAACGTGCCTTGTCATCCAAATCTTCCCAATCTTCATCTGTCATTGCGGTCGGTTTCTTCTTCTTCCCAGCTAGCGCTTTCTTCAAACCGTTCTGGGTTAGAACGGCTTCCATCTGAACCTTCCAGATAGAGAAGCTAATTTTCCCGTCGAACTTCTCGATATCGAACTTAGTGACAGTCGACATCTTTGAATATAATTCTCAAATAAACTTTGCTCTGATACCACTTGTTAGGAATATAGCGGAATAATGCGGAAGCGAAGAATCGAAAATTGAGAATTATAGAAGTTAAATAATAGGGAAAAATAATATAAATAACAAATGAAAGAGGATTACAAAGATGCGGAAGCGAAGAATCGAAAATTGAGAATTATAGAAGTTAAATAATAGGGAAAAATAATATAAATAACAAATGAAAGAGGATTACAAAGAAAATATATATATCTATGTACGTGGAAGGAAAGAAGAATGAATTCAATTAATATTGATAAGTACAAATTACAATGGCAAATAATGAACATATTTATACACTAGAACTAAGAGACAAAAACGGCAAGCAAAACAATGAGAGCAAAACCCGGAGGAATGTGTAGGAGCACGACGAAAGGTTGCAAACGACGCGGGTAATTGAGAGAGACCAATTCTTCATAGATTTGAGACATAAAAAATATTATTTTCTAACAATATATATTGGAGCAAAACGCTAGATGGAAGATTTGGATGAGAATGGTCAACAATTTGCAATTTGAACGCAATTTCTTGGTTGTTTCGTTGAGCCAATTTTTCTTTCAATCCATGGTTTAGGTATTGACTGTTGAGCATTATACAATAATATAATCAAATTTTCTTCTTCACCAGAATAGAGTAAAGAAAATTACTTGACCATCATCTTCTTCCTCAATATAAAAAACCACTAATTTGTCCCCTATGAACTTATTAAGGGAGAAAATTAAAGTTCAAAATTTGATAGCAAAAATGTGAAAATTATGTCCAAAGTGAACAAATCCTTGGTGAATACCTACACTTGGTCGGTCTATGCTAGATTATCATTTTGGTTAAGTGAGTGGCATAGTATGGCGCTGATAGTTGAATTGCACATTTATGTTTATATATATATTATATGCTCAACACGCCCCCTCACGTGTGTGGGGCGATTACTTGGATTGCATATTTATGTTTGTATAATATATATGCTCAACATAATGCGTCGTATCAGATAGGGAAAATGACACTTTTTTTTCCTGAATTATATGATTATAACACTTTTTTTCCCTGAATTATTCATGTATCCACATTAGTCTCCTCAATTATTAGAAAAGTGGCGGTTTTTTTCTCATGATATATTAAATTGACATTTCTACCCTTAAAATAAATATTTTATTTACTTTTTTTCTTCAACAAATTATTGCTTATACGTAGGGATAACCACAGTTCGGTTCGAACTGAATCGGACACTATAGCAATCAAATCAAAATTTGTCGGTTATGATTAAGAACTAGAACCCCCAATATTTGGGTTTTAGTTTATTAAAATCGTGAACTGAAAAAAATGGATCATGAACCGTGAACCGGGGGTTCGAACCAGAACAACTACTACCATTAGCTTAAAATTAGAATTATAATATTTGCAAATAATTTATGTTCTTGTTTGCATTTATTCTGATTCTCACATATAATTATATATATAACTGCGATTTGGTTTTGATTTTGAACCGTTGGTTAACGGTTTCGGATCCAATTTGAACTGATGGTTCAAACTTTCTTTTAAAAGTTTAGTTTTTTATTTTTAAAATATTTTAAATTCAACAATTGATGTATTTTAGTTATCAATTCAGAATATGAACTAGCCGTTTCGGTTCGCGATTTTAATAAACATTAAATATCGCGGTACGGTTCTAAATGGTCATTAGAACCTTTTTGTTTGGTTGCTATAGTATATATCTATTTGGTTTGAACTAAATCGTGGTTATAATTTGTTGGAGAAAAAAAAATAAATGAAATATTTATTTTAAAGGTAAATATGTTCATTTAACATATTAGGGAAAAAATTGTCACTTAAATAATTTATGGAAAAAAGTACTATAAGTATATAATACGGGGGAAATGTCATTTTCCCTATCAGATATGAGATAACTACTACAATTTTTTTTTTTTTTTTTTTTTTGAAAAAACTACAACTTTTATTGTTATAAATATGGATAAAGCTAGTATTGTTTGTATTCCAAGAAATGAAAGGATTAGCAACCTCGTGAAACATCGTTTGTTTCTAGTACTGTATGTGAGAGTGAAACATACAGAATGGATACCGGCGGAGAAAACGGCGGCGTTCCTCATGTGTTAATCTTTCCTTTACCCATACAAAGTCCGGTGAACTCCATGCTAAAGCTGGCGGAGCTTCTCTGCCTCGCCGGCGTCCACGTCACCTTCCTCAACACTAAACACAACCACCAGCGCCTCCTCCGCAGCGCCGCCAACGGCGACGTGGAATCCCGTTTCGACAGATACCCCGGCAGTTTCCGTTTCGAAGTTATCTCCGACGGCTTCCCGGAAGATCACCCCCGTTCTGTCGAAGACTTTTTAGATGTAGTCAACTCTTTGCAGACGGTGGCGGAGCCGCATCTTAGAGAGGTGTTGTTGAGGCCGCCGGAAAGTGGGAGAAAAGTGACGTGCGCGGTAGTAGAGGCGGTGTTTTCTTACGTTTTTGAGATTGGGAAGGAGGTTGGGGTTCCCGTTTTCGCCTTTGAAACTATCAGCCCTTGCTGTCTTGGGGTTTATCTCTGCATTCCGAAACTCTTTCAGGATGGAAAGCTGCCATTGATCAAAGGTAAAAACATGAATCCAGAAATGAAAGCTTACTTTTCACAACTGGAATTTCCGACCACCTAGTAAAAAGTGGTCGGAAATAGCAAGATTTAAAATAACTTTCAGGTGGTCAGAAATTCTATACTTTCCAGCCCTATTTTCACCTTAAATTGAGTATTTTGAATAACCTATCAACCATGTATCTTTGAATTTCCTGATCTAGGAGAAGACCTGGAAACAGTGGTAGATGTTGTGGCGGGCATGGAAGGTGTTCTCAAGGTACGCGATCTTCCCGAGTTTTGTCGAACGGAAGGTCCTCGGGCGGAGAAGAGCCGCAAACTCGCCATGGCTGAAATCCATTCTTTGAGCAAATTAGCCCACGGGCTAATACTCAACTCGTTTGAAGAGTTGGAGGGTCCAATTCTGCCGCATATCCGCACCCACTTTCCCGGCAACACATACATGATCGGGCCGGTCCAGCAACACTTAAAGACCAGACTCGCAGAGAGGGAGATAACACAGTCACCATCTTCAAACAGCTTCTGGAGAGAAGACAAAACCTGCATCCAATGGCTCGATGAACAGCCCGACGAATCAGTGATATACGTAAGCTTTGGCAGTCTCAACACCTTAACAATGGCGCAACTCATGGAAGTTTGGCACGGTTTGGTCGCCAGTGCGGTTAGATTCTTGTGGGTTTTGAGGCCCGACATTGTTAAGGATAATTTGTCCTCGGATCAAAACTTGGTGACAGAACTGAAAAAGGGTTGCTCGGAGAATGGGCAGATAGTGAGTTGGGCTCCTCAAGAAGAGGTCTTGGCCCACCGGGCGATCGGAGGATTCTGGACGCACAGTGGATGGAACTCGACTCTGGAAAGTATTATCGCTGGAAAGCCAATGATCTGTTCGGCGCAAATTGTTGACCAGCTGATTACTAGAAGGGTTGTGAGTGAAGTGTGGAAGATTGGGGTGGACATGGAAGATAAGTGTGATCGTTTGAGTATTGAGAAAATGGTGAAGGAGGTTATGGGGAGCAGGGGGCAAGAGTTGAAGAAATCAGCCCAGAAATTTTCTAAGTTAGCAAGAGAAAGTGTCAACAATGGAGGTTCATCCTATACTAACCTTGACCACCTCATAAATGAGATAAGAAGATTGAGCAGCTAGCATTAAGGATTTCAAAAATATTTCATCTTAGTCTCAACGATCTTAGTAGCTTAAGTGTGTTAGTTTGTAATGAGTTTATCAGGCATGTTCAATAAAAGATTATGGCCCTGTTTGGTAAAATAGTTATGTCAATTTTAGTTTATTTAATCATTATTAGCTTTTTGATTTAGTTAAAAAAATCATAAATATTTGGTTAATTAGTTTTTTTTTTTTTAACTCCAAAACGCTAAAATTCAAAAAGCTGCCCAAAGCAATTTTTTTAATTAATTTTTTGAGAAAGAAAATTATACCAAACAGCTATCAACTAACAGTTAATTTATCAAGCAAAATTTTTACAATCAGTTAATGTTATCAATTAATTATACTCTCTAATTAACTCAATCAGCTAACAACAATTTATTGGGCCTATATATATTATGTTAGGTATTTATGTTTTTAAGGGCATCGCCTTCCCTTTGGTCCAGTCAATTACTTCTTTTGAATCACTCTCACTTTCAAACAACGTACAAATTTATGTCAAGCTCACTCTAAACTCTTTAGGACCGTTCAATTTTAATTTCGTAAATAGTAAATAATAAAAATTTTATAATGTTGCCAATAAACAAATAATATTTAAATTAAATTCACGTTATATATCCCTTAAATTTTAATTTGTTATATAAAACAAATGGGGGCAAACGCATAGATTGGAATGAGATTCTCCTACAATTTGCAATTAGAAACAAATTATTGGTTGTTGAGCTTTATCTTCTAATCCTTTTTTAATACTGCTTTACTTCCCACATCTAGGTACTGACTATTGAGCATTATACCATAATATAATAATTAATTTGACAACATGGATAATATTTGGAATATGCCATGACACTTGGGTTATATTTAACAAATCTAACTGAAAAAATTACTTGAAAGTTGAAAGGACGACATTTTCATAAAATTTAAATAATTTTTTTTTTTGATTGAGGGGGATGGGGGGACTCGAGGGAGACTCAACATGACTAGTTTATCTCATAAGTCTATGAACAAACGTAACATGAGCTAAGTCATTGGTATAAGCGTCGTTGCTAATGATGGGGCAGGAACTCCCAGATTGCATGCTGAAAGGCACCGGCTGTTGCGAGGGAGTTCGCAACCCAATTCTGGTCTCTTTAGATTGCACGAATGGACACTCTCCATTCTTTTATAAGCCAAGATTTGGTGTCTTCGATGATCTCCTTCTTAGGGCCCGGAGAGTGGTGTTCGTGCAAATCCACTCCACCACTTTACTAAAAATATGAAAAGTCATGAAAAAGACTGAAAATGTCAAAAAATAATAGTCTACTATGTTTAATGGCAAAAATGATAATCTGAGACTAAATTTGAAATTGTAACTAAAGACAAATGACAATTCTTGCCACACTTCTTAATTAATCGTCATACATGATTTTACTAATACAAACTATTACATTTGGTTTAATCGATTACCTTAAAGTAATGTTTTTACAATAGTGTAGGAGTTCGAATTAATTTATCTTGAAACCCACTAGAAAACGAAACCCACTACACAAAGTGTACACACATGCATACAAGGGGTGAAATTTTTGAGAACTCCCAATTTATTTAAGAGAAAATTGTAATTTATGTCCCTCCATAATATGTCAATTATCAATATCATCCCAAAATTATTAGTGGTGTAAAGAGTGCCTCTCAATTTTTAAAGCGGTACATATATTGTCCATCTATAGTATAAATGTTGTCCCTCAATTTTTAAAACAGTACATATATTGCCCCTCACATACGGTACGAGAGGAGTAATATATGTACTGTTTTATTAGGGAAAATGACACTTTTTCCCCCTAAGTTATATATTTGAGTTAATACCCAAAATCGTCCTCGACTATAGTGGTTTTTCTCAATTTCGTCCTAAACGACTTTGGTGACCTAATATCGTCCCAGACTTTTGTGTTTCGCTCAATTTAGTCCTCCATTTGTTATTCCGTCAAATTGGTGTTAAATAAAGGAATAATTCAGTATGTCAATATTGATCTCTCTTTGCTTTCAACTTATGAAGTGCGAAATTCCTCTTTCTTGTATGAATTACACCCAGAATTACTCCCGGACCTGCAAATCAAATTTTATATTCGCAGTTTTAGGAGTAATTCTGGGAGTAATTCGTAAAAAAAAAAGGATTTCGCAGTTCACATGTCTATGAGTAAAGAGATGCCAATATTAAAATTACTGAATTGTCTATTTATTTAACACCAAATGGACAGAATAACAAATGAAGGACTAAATTGAGCAAAAGCACAAAAGTCTGGGACTAAATTGAGCGAAACACAAAAGTCTGGGACGATATTAGGTCACCAAAGTCGTTTAGGACGAAATTGAGAAAAACCACTATAGTCGAGGACGATTTTGGGTATTAACTCTTATATATTTATAGCACTTTTTCCCCCTCAATTATTTAAGTGACTCTTTTTTCCCCCTGAAATGTTAAATGGACATATTTACCCTTAAAATAAATATTTCATTTATTTTTATTCTACAACAAATTATTACTATAATTTGGTTCAAACCAAACAGATACTATAGCAACCAAACCAAAATATTCCAATTACAATTTATAATCAAAACGCTATATTTAGAGTTTATTAAAATCGCGAACCGGAATGACCGGTTCATATTCCGAACTGAAAAAATAAAATACATTTATTGTTGAATTTAGACTATTTTAAAATAAAAAATAAAATTTTAAAATAAAGACGGTTCAAAATCGCGACTGGATCCGGAACTGCCGGTTCACGGTTCATGATCCAGTTTTTTTTTTTTTTTTTTAATTCTTAAATTTAATAAATTGAAATCAAAATATTAGGTTCTAGATCTGAATCATAACTTTAAGGGTAGAAATGTCAATTTAATATATTTGGAGAAAAAACCACCACTTTTAAAATAATTGAGGGGGCTAATGTGCTTACATAAATAATTGAGGGGAAAAAAGTGCTATAAGTATATAACTTAAGGAGAAAAAGTATCATTTTCCCTTTAAAAATTGAAAAGCAATATTTACATTACTAATAATTTAGAAGAAACATTAATTGACATATTATGGAGGGATATAAATTATAATTTTTTTTCCCAACATCAAGAGTCAGGGCAGGGACAAGTCGAGAGTCGAGACTTACCTCTTTCAGCAGCTGCATAAAAAAGAAAAAAAAATCACGTGACTATCATCTTCTTCCTCGATATTACAAAACTCTAATCTCCATACCATGCGGTAAAATTACGTAACTATCATCAGACGGATGGATCTCTCCGGCGTCTTTCTATATAAAAGTAGACGATAAAGCATTCTATGATATGAAAACACTATTAGCAACGTAACGCCGTTAAACTTCATTTCATTTTTTTTTCTGCTAGCATTGTGAAACACAATAGCATAATGGATAACGGAGAAAACGCCGTTCCTAACGTTATAATCTTCCCTTTACCACTACAAAGCCCGGTAAACTCCATGCTAAAGCTGGCGGAGCTTCTCTGCCTCGCCGGCGGCGTCCACGTCACCTTCCTCATCACGGAGCACAACCACCAGCGCCTCCTCCGCAGCACCGACGCCGGGTCCCGTTTCGAGAGGTACTATCTCGGAAAGTTCAGTTTCGAAGTTATCTCCGACGGGCTCCGGGAAGATCACCCCCGCTCCGCGGAGGACTATGAGGGCATAGTCAACAGTTTGCAGGGCGTGGCGGAGCCGCATCTGAGAGAAATGTTGAGGTCGGAAAGGGGGAGGAAGGTAACGTGCGTAATAGCGGAGGCGGTGTTTGGTTACGCTTTTGAGATTGGGAAAGAAGTTGGTATTCCTGTTTTTGCGTTTGAAACTGTCAGCCCTTGCTATCTAGGGGTTTATCTCTGCATTCCGAAACTCTTTGAGGAAGGACAACTTCCATCCAAAGGTAAATATGCATACTTCTTTGACCCATATTGTGTATATGTCTTATATGTATGGGAGGATCTAATTAACCCCAAGTTATGTTTTTGTTTTTTCCTTTTGGCCTGGGCGTGGCCCGCTGGCGCGTGTAGTATTGTAAAAATCGGCCTAGACGGTGGTTTAGGTTCTAGGTGCTCCTAAGCGAGGCAATTTCAGGTCTAGGCGGCATTTTGTTAGCAGACTGATTAATTGGCGGACTAGACATTTTAGGTGCCCGACTCAGTTGAGTTGAGTTCTAATAACTCGGCCGAGTCTGATGCTTAACTCGGCTCTCAACTCGGTCGAGTGGTTTTTTGCCCACTCAGCTACTCTTCTTTTATACTTCTCCAACCATGTATTATATTTGCTCAAGTAACCATCTAATATATGCATTTGACTAGTTAATTTGGGATTATACAATCTAACAACGTAACTCTTAGCCGTGAGTCGAAAAAGTTGAGACCATATACTCAGATTATTAAGCAGCCTAGGTGCTCTAGGTACCACCTAACGCCCGACTAGTGCCTTGCGCCTTCTGAAACGTTGAGTGCGGGTCGAGGCGAGGGCAGCGCTCTTGGCGAATGGTAATTGAGTAAAGCAAGTCTTAAGTTATCTTGATCAGTTCAAATCAAGATGGTTAATAGGACGCTTGCATTAGGTTAATTGCCCCATGCATACTACTTTTCTTAATTATTATTGAGTATTGTGTATTTTAAGTTTGATTATTTTGATGATCAACTTTAGGAGAAGACTTGGAAACATTGGTAACGGGTGTGCCGGGCATGGAAGGACTTCTTAAGGTACGGGACCTTCCCCATTTCTGCCGAGCGAAAGATCCATGGGCAGAAGAGAGCGGTAAACTTATCATGGCTGAAATCCATGCTGTGCCCAAAGCCCACGGGCTAATCCTAAACTCGTTTGAAGAGTTGGACGGGCCAATCATGGCGCATATCCGCACCCACTGTCCAAACACGTATATGATCGGGCCCGTCCAGCAACACTTGAAGACCAGACTCGCGGAAAGGGAGACGACAATGCCACCATCTTCAAACAGCTTCTGGAGAGAAGACAAAACCTGCATCCAATGGCTCGACGAACAGCCCGAAGAGTCAGTGATATATGTAAGTTTTGGCAGTCAGAACACCTTAACAATGGCGGAACTCATGGAAGTTTGGCATGGTTTGGTCGCCAGTGGGGTTAGGTTCTTGTGGGTGTTGAGGCCCAATACTCTTCGGGCTGCAAAGGAGGTGTTGGATCAAAACTTGGTGAGAGAACTGAAAAAGGGTTGCTTAGAGTGTGGGCGGATTGTGAGTTGGGCTCCTCAAGAAGAGGTCCTGGCCCATCGGGCAATCGGGGGATTCTGGACGCACAGTGGATGGAATTCGACTTTAGAAAGTATTCTTGCCGGAAAGCCCATGATCTGTTGGGCCCAATATGTTGACCAGCTGGTCACCAGAAGGCTTGTAAGTGAAGTGTGGAGGATTGGGGTGGACATGGAAGATAGGTGTGATCGTTTGAGTGTTGAGAAAATGGTGAAAGAGCTTATGATGGGAAGCAGAAGGCAAGAGTTGAAGAAATCAGCCCAGAAATTTTCTAAGTTAGCAAGAGAAAGTGTGAACAATGGAGGCTCATCCTATACTAGCCTTGACCACCTTATAAATGACATAAGAAAATTAAGCAGCATTAAGCATTTCCAAAATAATTTATCCTGCATTGGCTAGTCAAGTCAAGTTTGTCTGACAATTAGTTTGGTAACAAGATTTCAAGTTCACCTTTTAGTGAACACAGTCCATTAGTATTTTAGTTTGTGCTGGTCAGTTATGAACAATTTAACTTGATCATTGTGGTCCTTTGTTGACTATGATCAAAGCCGGGATTTCCAAATAGTGGTTGCAGGTAGCTAGTCTAAAATTTTTTGAGAGATTATGTGTGTTTGTAGAAAGTTTATTATGTTCAATAATAAAAGATTATGGTCTTTAATGTATTAGAGTTAACGTACTAGTTCAATAAAATTAAAAATAAGTGTACTGGGATAATAACTTCAATATATTTAATTTCATGTAACGTTTTCAAGTTTTCAACTACTACTCACAAATAATAATAATAATAATAATAATAATAATAATAATAATAATAATAATAAAGAGATTGAAATGAGGCCTACAAATTCTAGAAAGAAAAATAAAAAGTTCGTTAAAATTGCACTGGGAAATCGGACTGTATCAACATAACATCATTGTGTTTGTTGAACAAAACGAATGAAAATAATGAACAAAAGCCAGTGATTAGCCGTTGAATAAGTGCACCGTACCCTCATTGATTAACCCACAATTTTTTTAAACTATTTTATATTTCCCCATAAAATAAACACTAAAAATTTCCAAAAAAAAAAAATTGTTCTGAAGCTAAGCTAAGGAGTAACTGAATAGATGGATAAGATTTTGATATCAGAATATCATAAGTTTGATTCTTGTCAACATCTTCGCAATCAAATAAGACTATAAGACAAAGTTTTTCTTTTTTCTAATACTGAATTTGTCCAACACACACTCTCAAATAGTAATTATAAAAAAAAAAAAAATTAAAAAACACACATATACACAAAAGTTCCATTTTACACTGCACATTTCTCCGCCCGGGTCCAATTTATTTATAATAATTATTTTATTATTCCATATTCGATATAAAAGTTGGATCAGTATCATATTCCGCCTACCAAATCAAACGTCGTTCTAGATTATTTTACTTTATTTATTTTTGCATAAAATAACCAAACGAGAAAGCGAAACCCATCTTTTGTATACGTTGAAGCCAACAAAAAATAAAGACATTGTCAATTTATGCCCAACTTTCCAGCTTTCCTCATCAACCATGCGGTCCAATTTTATAATACATGAAACAATTATCCTAAATTTGGCAAACAGACACAAAAAAATAAAAAAATAAAAAGTGACTAAGTGAGTGAAATATAACTTCTATATATGAATGTCATGAGTTTGATTGGTCAAATTCGTTAGTTACACATAATTTTTTTAAAATAATTTTTTTTTGTGTAATTTAAAATTAATAAATAGGATTACGATTTATTCAGTATACACATTTAAATAATGACTACAGATTTTTATCATCACGTAAAACAAAAAGACAAATTGGTGAATTAAATAATTTGGCACTTATAGCGACAGTCTATCATTAGGGATTATTTTAATCCTGGATTGATTTGTCTGCAGACCCAATCAATATCTCTTGTTTCCCACTTCATAAAGCCCATTTTTTTTTTAAAAGAAAGACACGTATTTACATTGGCTTAATCCATCATCAATTAAGTAGGTTTAAGATTTGACTTTTTATGTGGAGATTTGTGTTTTGTACTCCTGGGCGGGGCTGCTTCAATTGGCTTATCTGTTCAGTCTTAATTTGGTATGACAATATTAACCAAAAGTTAAACAAGTTATTGTACAACAATATTTGATGATAAAAAAAAATATTAAACATAATTGAGATTAAAAACTGATTTCGAAGTTTAAGAATTCGAATTGATTTTAAAGATAACGTACTATTATTGGTGTTAAGTCATATATCAATTAATTTATTGTCCAACAATATTTTATGATATAAAAGTCTTAAACATAATTGAGATTCAGAACTAATTTCAAAGAGTCAGAATTAGAATTATTTTTAAAGATAACTTTTGTTAATGTTAAGTCATATAGCTAGGAGCCTAACATGTACTACCCACAAGACCTTAATGAATAATTCGGAGCTTGAATATAAGCTAGGGGTATTGATTCAAGAAAATAATGATATTTAAGCTCAGTATAATAAATAGGAAATGATTATACAAGGACATGTTGCTCGAGCTAATTAATATATTGAGTGAACCATCCTTTCTCTTTGTGATAAGAGGATATGAGAGTCTATTTATATGAAACTAGACCCTACTATGAAAGTAACAAGAGTACAAAGGAAGATATTTTGCTAGAATTTTAAGCTAAGTTAGAACATTGTAGAAGTTACAATTGCTTATCTTGTAACGAATGATAACTATCTGTTTTGTCTTCTCACATTAGGGTAAGGAGTTGAAAGCCAGGAAAGTTAGTCTTGAATCATTATATTTGTACTAAATTCAAAATTACTTATTTTACGAAAATGCTATATGGACTCTCATTCTATACTTCATACAAAAAAAAAAAAAAAAAAAAAAAAAAAAAAAAAACTTATCAAGCCCCGTCACATCATGAAGTAAGAATATTTCTCATTTTAAACCGAACCGAAATCATGTCTACAAAATCTGAAGTGTGTGGTAATATGATTGGAGGAATATGGTCATTAATTGTCCAAGAATTGACTCATTCACGAGTGGAAAAGAATAGTGTTTAGTAACCTAGCATTAGTAGTAGCTAGCTAGTACTTAAGGCAAAGACCCAAACCAACATTCTCGACCACCTTGGAAAACCCAAAAACCTCGACGACAATCAACAATGGAGAATCCAAGAAAATTGACGACGACGACGACGAATCCACCTCACGTACTAATATTCCCCTTGCCACTTCAAGGCCCCGTGAACTCCATGCTCAAACTCGCCGAGATATTCTGCCTCCACGACATCCACGTCACCTTCCTCAACACCCACCACGTCCACCGCCGCCTCTTCACCTTCTCCGACGCCGGCGACCGCTTCGCCAAGTACCCCAACTTCCGCTTCGCCACGCTCCCCGACGGCCTCCCGGAGGACAACCCCAGGACCGGAGACCAAATCTTGGAGCTTATAGAATGCATAGAGAAAGTCACCAGCCCGCTCTTCCGGGAGATGGTCACCGCCGGCGCCGGCCTCCAGAACCCCGTCACCTGCCTTCTGGTCGACGGAATATTCACGTTTGCCGTCGATGTCGCCCGGGAAATCGGAGTCCCACTTCTCTATTTTGACACGATTAGTCCTTGTGGCCTTTGGAGTTACATGTGTGTCCCTAAACTCATTGAAGCCGGAGAGCTTCCCTTCCGAGGTTAGTCCATTCCATACTATAATACATCTAAGCTTTTTCCATTTTTGATCTCATGATTATTGGACCATTTCTTTCATCCACCATTATTAATTTTTCACATTTGGTCTTATGAAATTTAAATCCTTGTCAAATTTTGTCCATCCCATCTAATTTCTGGTCTTTTGATGGCCAAATTTCAGGCAAATAACTTATCTTAAAGGGTAAAATTATCCCTTTTTATTTCCTCTCTTACAAGTTTTTTTTTTTTTTTTTTTTTTTTTTAAAGTGATGAAAATGATAATTTTTCTTTTTAAAATAAGTCACTAGTGACTGAAATTTAAGTTAGATGGATCAAATATGACAAGGCCGGATTTAAAAATATTGGAATCAAATATGAAAAATATTATTAATAATTAAATATGAAAATGATCATATATTTTTTAAAGTATTATTGACTCTGTTACAATGCAATATTTGTTCATAACTATTTTTGTAACCTAACCTATTGAAGCACAAAGAGGCTTGAACTCATGACCTCCCATATGGTAGAGTCACTTCGTGCCACTAGACCACAAGGTCATTGGCATGAAGATGATCATATAATTGTGAGACCAAACCATTTTTGTATATTTAACACATCAATTATGACTGTCAATACTACACACACATTGTTGTTCTTATTAAGGTTAGATGAAGGTATTATTTGTGTCCTAAATATAGCAAAAATGTTTAGTTTTAGATGGTAATTAAGGTGTGTGTGTGACATTTATATATTCCTTGGGAGCATTGAGTGGTGTCAGGTTCTAAATTCAGTAATACGCATGATTGTTATAGACGATGACTTGACAGAGTGATGCTTCAATTATTGTACGAAGTCGAACTACGTGTACCAATGATGTTGCGTCTAACGTATGTCGTCGTTTGTAGGAAATGATTTGGATTCCCCAATAAAGAGTGCGCCAGGATTCGGCGGCATCCTACGCCGCAGGGACATGCCCAGCTTGTGTCGGGCCGACGACATCAACGACCCAATAATCCAGCTTGTTCTCAAGGAGGACCAACATCTCCCCCAAGCCCAAGGCCTCATTTTCAACACATTTCTAGGCCTAGAAGGACCCATTCTTGCGCAGTTCCGGGACGTGGTCTGCCCCAATGTCTATGCCGTTGGCCCACTCCACTCACACCTTAAGACCCGGCTTGCTGAGGGCGGGAGAGATAAATCGCGGGATGTGCTGTATCCTACTTCTTCTAATAGTTTGTGGAGGGAGGACGAGAGATGTATAGAGTGGCTTGATAGGCAGGTGGAGAGGTCGGTGTTGTATGTTAGCATTGGAAGCATGGCAATCATTAGTAGAGATCGTCTCATGGAGCTGTGGTATGGATTGGTGAATAGCGGGACTCGTTTTCTTTGGGTGCAAAGGCCTGGCTCGGTGATGGGTGGGAGAAGGGATGGCGATGTTCCGGAGGAGTTGATTCAAGGGACAGAGAAAAGGGGATGCATTGTGGACTGGGCTCCTCAAGAGAAGGTTCTGGCTCACCCTTCAATTCGTGGATTCTTAACGCATGGCGGGTGGAACTCGACTTTAGAGAGCATAGTGGAAGGGGTGCCCATGATTTGTTGGCCATTTTTTGTTGACCAACACGTCAACAGTAGGTTTGTGGAGGAAGTTTGGAAAGTAGGGTTAGACATGAAGGACTTGTATGATAGAGGTAGCATTGAGAGGATGATTAGGGATCTAATGGAGGATAAGAAAGATGAGTTCTTGAAAAGGGCAAGTGAAATGGCATATTTGGCCAAACAAAGCATTGGACGAAGTGGCTCTTCGTACCAGGACTTGGATCGCCTCATTGAGGATATTAGATTGATGAGAATAGGATCATAAGGTGTCCATACGGACAGCTCAATTGATTCTTGGGTGACAGATTGTGGGCAACAAAAATATAATTATAGGGTAGATCATTATTATATTGGCATTCAAAGCCCCATCACACTTTCAATCATTTATGTATGTATGGTTTGTCAAGAATTAATTTGTCTCAATGGCCTAGACAATCTTAATCTTAATATCTCTTCTAAAAAACTTCATGGCTTTAGTTATACTTTCCAATCTAAAAATCCCTTCTGTCAATGCAGCCAGATTCATAATTGGCTATTGGTACTATCTAGAAAATTAAATAAAGTGGGAATAAGCGATAAGTTTAAAGTGATCGAAGTTTGCCATGCTATGAAGAACTCAAAGAATGTGGACCTTCTTTTTACCAGACTCCCACGCCCATTTTATTCCCATGTAAGCCGCCCAAAATTCACCCTCAAACACGGAGTGTATTTTATAAGTTATGAATTGTACAAATTATTTAAAACTTAATTAATTAATTTATATCAAATATATTGTATGATTTAGTTATTTAAATAAAAACATTAAAACGTAATTTTTTTTAAAAAAAATATCATCTAGTCAATGTAATATAAAAGTTTATATTATATTTCATTGTATTCAAATTACTCTAACAACGTTTGTAAACACAAAAAATTGAATTATATATATTTAAATTCAAAATTTTTGTTATATCGAATTTCAATACGGTGTGGATACAAGTCTCTAGATGGTCCTCTGATTCTCCAATTGGATGCCAACTGATACGCCCTTAATTGTAATTATATATTTTAACTAGTATTTGCGCCCGTGCGTTGCACGGATTGGATTTGTTATAATATTTTAAAAATATTTAGATCGATATACAATTGTATAAATTATGACATCGAATATTATATAATATAATTGAAGAATTGAGTTGCACCGATTATGTTTTCTGATGTTATCAATGCTTGAATTCGAGTAAATAATTGTCTAATTAATAGCTAACGTGTAGATATACGCATTCGGTGTTGCAACTTTAGAGATTTTATATATCAATATTTAGAATTTATATTAATTGGACTAATTAGCTCGTTGTCTAGCAACTCAGTTATAAAAATTATTTATACGGAAGATATATATTTTTTCTATGTAGATATATAACGATTTTGTCATCTTTGTATACAAAAAAAAAAAAAAAAAAAAAAAAAAAAAAAAAAAAAAAAAACATAATACGGATGGTTTGAATTATATATTATTGAAAATCTCTTTGTAGACGACATTAGTAGTAGTAACGGAATTTTATCCATCCCCGTCTAGAGTTAAAACCATCAGGATGGTGTGACTCGGGAAAAAGTCACATACGATTAAAGATTGGTTTTTTCAGTAATAACTCAACATGAGTTAGTGTTTGACCCTGACTTTTGTTGATAGTCATGATATATGCGAGCATCAACGTTAATTGTTTTCGTTAGAACTTGAAGGGCAATCTCGTATCAGAAGGGTGAAAGACATTTTAATTAAAGATTTTACTTTTATTAATAATTTTGATATAAAATGATGTAAATAATAATAATTAATAAATTATTATTTCTTTATAAAATTACATAGAATTTCAATTGGATTTTCTCATTTATTATGCAAAATTTATTTCCGTTATTCTCACAATTATAATGGTTTAATTATTCTCAGAATTTGATAACCATTTTCCGTTTTTAAGTACATATTAACTTTAGTTAATTTTCATATAAAATTTTGTTACCAATTAAGCTTTATTGATTTTTTTTACCAATTAATTAATATTCATATTAATTTGGACGAAAATGTGGAAGATGAGGATTTTACTTTTATTAATAGTATAAATTGGTGTAAATAATAATTAAGAAAATTATTATTTCTTTATAAAATTACGTAGAATTTTAAATAAATTTTCTCATTTGTTACGCAGAATTTGTATATATTATTTTCACAATTATAATAATTTAATTATTCTCATAATTTGGTAACAATTTTCCATTTTTATGTACATATTGACTTTAATATGTGGTAACAATTCATTAGATATTAGTTAATTTTCATACAAAATTTTGTTACCAATTAAGTTTTCTTAATATTTTACTAATTAATTAATATTCGTATTAAATTGGGTTGAAATGTTGTAAAGGAGGATTTTAATTTTATTAAAGTCATTTCAATAAGGAAATTAAAATTAATTAAAGTAAATCTAATCATTCTATATTTATTTGTAACTATATATTAATTTTATTTTGAAATCATTGGTTCACATATATATTTGAATTATTTATTTATTTTTAATTATTCTCATTGTAAACACAAATGATATTGCAATAATTAATTAATGATATTTATCAAATAATATTTTTTTAAATATAAAATTTTCTCATGTTTAGGGATTAAAGAATATTTTAAATTTATTTTTATTAATAAATATTTTTAATTTTAAAAAATTTTTCAGCAACCCAAACACTCCCTTACTCTGTAAAACTGAAAAATAAAATTTATTTCATTATGAAAATTAAAACTAATTAAAAGATAACTATTACACATGTTATGATGGGGGTTAAAAAGTATTTATTTCACTTTGAATTATTTATTTATTTTCTTTAAGTATTATAAACAGAAATTATGATATTTATCAAATTATATTTTTTTTAAAATATAACATTTACACATATAATGAAGGGGTTAAAAAGTATTTTAAAATTATTTTTTATTAGTATGTAAACTGAAAAATAAAAATTATTTAATTAAGAAAATTAAAACTAATTAAAGTAAATTTAATAATGCTATATTTATTTGTAACTATATATTAATTTCATTTTGAAATCATTGGTTCACATCTTTGAATTATTTATTTTTTTTCTTTAACTATTATAAACAGAAATTATGATATTTATAAAATTATATTTTAAAAAAATATAACATTTACACATGTTATGATGGGTTAAAAAATATTTTAAAATTATTTTGTATTTGTATGTATTTTTATTTTAAAATATTTTTCAACAATCCAAATACTCTCTTAGCCTCCCATAAAAAACCTGATAAAGAAAAGTCATTTAATTAAGAAAATTAAAACTATTTAAAGTAAAATCTAATCATGTTATATTTATTTGTAACTGTATACTAATTTCATTTTCAAATCTTTAGTTCACATATTTGAATTTTTTTTTTAATTATTCTAATTTATAAATAGAAATGATATTGTACTAATTAATTTATGATATTTATCAAATTTTATTTTTAAAAAATATAAGATTTACACATGTTATGAGGGGTTAAAAATATTTTAAAAATATTTTTTATTAGTAAATATTTAAAAAATAATAATTTCCAGCAATCCAAACACTCCCTTAGTCTCCCATAAAAATTTGATAAAGAAAAGTTATATCATTAAGGGAATTAAAAATAATTAAATTAGCCTTCAAAAAAAATTAAATTAAATATAATCATGCTATATTTATTTGTAACTGTATATTAATTTCATTTCGAAATCATTGGTTCACATATTTGAATTATTTATTTTATTTTTTTCTTTAATTATTATGAACATAAATGATATTGTACTAATTAATTTATGATATTTATCGAATTGTATTTTTTAAAATATAGTGTTTTACCCGTGCGTTGCACTTAAATTTTTTTGTTATTATGAATTTAAAATTAAAATAGAAAAAATAAAAAGATGGTATATTGTACAATATAATAATATAGTTGTAATTTTATATATTTGGTCAAGTATCTATTTTCATAACATACAAAATTTAAATTTAAATTTTGTATGGTTAATATAATCTCTAATCATGTATATATTTAGATACAAATGCTCTGTCGGGTCGGGGTGTGGGGGGCCCTTAGGGTTGGGGTTCAGCCTTTTTGGAAGAATGTATATATTTAGATAAATTTATAAAATAAATTCACATAATTAAGTTGATTTATTCCAAATTGTATTTCATATATATTATCATTCTAAAAATATGAATATTAATAACTAAGAGAATTGTACTCAGAAATTAATAAAAAGATGTAAATTCTAATTTGTATGAATAAATATAAACTCTAATCGGACGCATATCCTTATATGATTGTATAATAAATAGTATATACACATAATATTTATTAATATGTATATAGGAAAATTCTATAATATAATTTCATTAATTATAATTTATGTTGATAGATTTATACTTAAAAAATTATATTTAGATTTTAAAAAGTGTATGTATGTATATTTAAAAAATTATAAATATTCATGTTTTGTTAATTTTAGAATTTTATTTCTTTAATTATATTTCATATTTTATTAATTATAATTACATGTAATGAAATTGTCACAAATAATTCATTAATTATATTAATTATAATTATCAAATATTGTGACAATTACCAAGATAATTTTATTAATTATATTAGTTATAACATTTTTTCTCTTCTAATATTTAAATACATTACCATAAAATGACCATAAAAATTACACAAAAGAAGGGAAGAAAAATTATGATAATAATTACCTTTAATAAGAATTAGGAAATTATATTAAAAAAAATCTATATATTAAGGTAAGTATAATTTATTTTGTGCCAATAATATTATACATTAAGTGTGTGTGTGTGTGTGTGTGTGTGTATATATATATATATATATATATATATATATATACTTTTAATTCTATATTGATAAGCATAGTCTATGTATATACTTTAAGAAAATATTTATTATTAAAAAGGAAATATAATTTTAAAAGTAAATTATTAATTATATTACCTAATATTATTGTCCTGCTAATTGATTCCATGCTACTATATATATAATTCATATATTTAAAAACTTTTTAAAGCTAAATACCTATTAATTATACTTTAATAATTAAGATAATTTTTAGTCAATCAATATTCAATAATACTAAAAGTATTATTTTGAATTTTAATAAATAAGATATAATAATATTATTAAACCAAAATAATTAAAAAAATGTGTACATGTTACTAAAAAATTTATAATAGTAATTTTTATTGCCTAATACAATTTGTCAATTATGATAATTATTGTATGATATTTAATACTAAAATTATTAGGTAGAATTTTTATAATTAAGGTATAATATTATTAAATCAAATTTAGTAATGACTACTCATGTTTATGTTTCCATGAACGGCTGCTATACGCATAATTTTTTATTTATTTATTTTTGGTTTGCT